AATGAATTCATGAATGATTGAATTAACCATACCTTTACAGAATAGATCATCCCTTTAGATACTAAAAACATCCAGAGTAACAATAGGACTTAAACTGAAAGGCAATCCTTGAGGCAGAGGTCAAAGTCTACAAACAACATGGGAGAGCCCCATGGGGCAGCCAACATTGGGGCTGATAAATATACCCCGAAAAAACCTAAAAAGGATGGTAGAGCCAGGTAGTATAAGGCTTGGGGAAAAGGATTTTGCACCTATGTGGATGAAATCACAAAGGGAAACTGAAAGGTGATACTGCCTCCCAGTGGTATTTGAGATAAAGGCTTCTTTCTATGCCAGAGTACTTTTAAGATATTTTTCTCACAGTGAGTGGTTCTGAACTATTGAGTGTGTGTGCCAGACATTCCTTAGTTTGTCTCATTTAACCTTCCCAATGACTCCTTGTAGAGATACAGCATATGGTTTTGGGGTTAAATGCATAGACTCCAGAGCCAAGTTGTCTGATTCTCTGCTTAATGTCTCTCCCACTTACTAGCTGTGTGACTTTGGACAAATTAACTTAAGTTCTCTGCATATTGCCCCTTCTTTAAAATAGGAAAAGGCTGGGCACGGTGGCTCACGCCTGTGATCCCAGCCCTTTGGGAGGCCAATGTGGGCTAACTGCTTGAGCCCAGGAGCTCAAGACCAGCCTGATCAACATAGTGAGATGCCATCTCTACAAAAAATAAAAATAAATTAAAATTTTAACCCTTTTCCAATTTTCCCCAAGAATACTTGCCAGCAGCGCTTGTGGCTGCAGCATTTATCCAGAGATAACTTTGCCATGAAATATCTTGCTTTTATTATTATTTCTACATTGCTCTCGTATACTGACTTTGGAAACAAAAGACATCATTCTATTAACAGCATTCTGTTTTCAGTAGTGGTATTTCCACTTACAAAATACAGTAATTCTTGATCACTAAAAATGTCAAATCCTGGAAAACGTAGCATTCCTACCCATGATATTAACATCATTCTTGAACAGTTGTTGGCCGAAGACTTACTTAATGAATCTGATTTTTCCAAAATAGATGAGTCTGATGATTCCAATGACTTAGATGATAGTTCTGTTTAGAAATAACTCCAAGAACAGTTTTTATATTTTATTTTCACATTGGAAATCAGTCAGATTTGTTTCAGCCTCAAAGAGCATGCTTATGTAAAATTAAATCTAGCAACAAGCTACATATTTTTTTCTACACAGGAAAGGGGTTTAAAAAAAAGAAAAATATAATAGGGATAGTATTGGTACCTATCACATAGAGTTCTCATGAGGGATAAATTCTTCCCCCCGCCCCGTGATAAATTCTTAAAATGGTACCTGATATCATGGCAAAGGTTATATACAGGCATACCTCATTTTATTGTGCTTCACTTTATTATGCTCCATAGATATTGCATTTTTTACACATTGAAGCTTTGTAGTAACACTGCATGGAGTGAGTCTATTAGTGCAATTTTTCCAACAGCATGTGTCTGCTTCGTGTCTCTATGTCACATTTTGGTATTCCTTGTAATATTTCAAACTTTTTCATTATTATTATACCTGTTACAGTGATCCATGATCAGTGATCTTTGATGTACTATTGTAATTGTTCAGGGGCACAACAAACTTTGCCTGTGTAAGAAGACAATCAGTAAATGTTGTGTGCTCTGACCGTTCTTCCAATCTGCTGTTCTCCTATCTCTCTCCCTCTCCTCAGGCCTCCATATTCCTTGAGACAATATTGAAACTAAGCCAATTAACAACTTACAATGACCTCTAAGTGTTCAAGTGACAAAAAAGAGTCCCACATCTCTCACTTTAAATCAAAAGGTAGAAATGATTAAGCTTAGTGAGAAAGGAATGTTGAAAGCTGAGACAAACCAAAACCTAGACCCCTTACATCAGGCAGTTAGCCAAGTTGTAAATACGAAGGAAAAGTTTGGTTTTTTTTGAGATAGGGTCTTAGTCTGTTTTTTTTTTTTTTGAGATAGGGTCTCAGCCAGTTTTGGCTCACTGCACCCTCTGCCTCCTGGGCTCAGGTGATCCTCCCACCCCAGCCTCCTAAGTAGCTGGCACCACAGGCCCGTGCCACCACAGCTGGCTAATTTTTGTAGTTTTTGTAGAGACAAGATCTCGCTATGTTACCAGGCTGGTCTCAAACTCCTGGATTCACGCAATCCTCCCACCTTGGCCTCCCAAAGTGCTGGGATTACCGGTGTGAGCCACTGCACTCAGCCATAAATTTGAGACAGGATATTACTCTGTCACCCAGGCGGGAGTGTAGTGGTATGATCTTGGCTCACTGCAACCTCTGCCTGTCTGGCTCAAGCGGCCCTCCCACCTCAGCCTCCTGAGTAGCTGGGGCCACAGATGCATGCCATCACACCCCACTAATTTTTCTGGGTTTATTTGTTTGGTTGGTTTGGTTTGGATTAGTGACTGACTTTGGAAATAAAAGACATCATTCTATTAACAGCATTCTGTTTTCAGTTGTGATATTTCCACTTACATAATACAGTAATTCTCAATCACTAAAAATGTCAAATCCGAGAAAACGCAGCATTCCTACACATGATGTTACATCATTCTTGAGCAGTTGTTGGCCAAAAATTCATTTGATGAATCCAGTTTTTCCAAATCCATCAGAATGGGTGGAATCCAATCCATCCATTCCGATTATTCCAGTGACTTTGATGTTAATTCTGTTTAGAAATAACTCCAAGAACAGTTTTTATTTTGTTTTCACATTGGAAATTAGATTTCTTTTCAAACTGTTGTCAATCGGCAGCGTTTTGCCGCGTTGCCCAAGCTGGTCTTGAACTCCTGAATAAAAGCGATCTGCTCATGTTGGCCTCCCAAAGTACTAGGATTAAAGGTATGAGCTATCAGGCCTGGCCTGGAAAAGTTGCTTCCTGAAAAAGTTCTGAAGAAAATTAAAAGTGCTACTTCAGGGAACACACAAATGATAAGAAGATAAAACAGCCTTATTGCTGATACGGAGAAATTTGTAGTGGTCTGATAGAAATCAAACCAGCCACATCTTCCCTAAACCAAAGCCTCATCTATAGCAAGGCTCTTACTCTCTTTAATTATATGAAAGCTGAGACAGGTGAGAAAGCTGCAGAAGTTTGAAGTCAGCAGAAGTTGGTTCATGAGGTTTAAGGAGAGAAGTCATCTGCATAAGACAAAAGTGCAAGGCAAGGCTGGACACAGTGGCTCACGCCAGTAATTCCAACACTTTGGGAGGCCAAGGTGGGTGAATCACTTGAGGCCAGGAGTTTGAGACCAGCCTGGCCAACATAGTGAAACTCTGTCTCTACTAAAACTACAAAAATTAGCTCGGCGTGGCAGTGCACACCTGTAATCCTAGCTACTTGGGAGGCTGAGGCCTGAAAATTGCTCGAGCCTGGGTGACTGAGGTTGCAGTGAGCCATGACTGCACCACTGCATTCCAGCCTGGGCAACAGAGTGGGCAAAAATAAATAAATAAAATAAAATAAAACTATGGTTTTCAAATGACATGTTATTCACGTGACTATCAGACCGACCACTCTAGCCCACAATTGCCATAGGTATCGTTACACAGTAAGAGTGAGTGGCAGATTGGCACATCAATAGCAAATGGGTTCCCTTCATACTTGTAAAGCTCTCCATGATGCTGCAAGCTTTCTATAATTCATATTTTCGTATACCTGGGTGCTCTAATTGAGAGACTGAATATATGAACAGTGACCAGATCATGTATAAAAACAGAACTCTGACCCACAATCTACAACCTGCCAGGGAAACCAACCCCCTTATCTATAATAAACAGCACAGGAAGCAAGCCTGCTACAAGTCAGACTTGTAGAAAGTCAGACTACTATCTCTCGTGATGATCCTAGAGGCCAAACAACAACCCCTGAAGCAGTGGGCCCAAAATGCCCTGGTATCTTACAGCTTCCTTAATTTTGTCATAGCTTCCAACATAGGTCCAACCAAACAAAGCCAAACATGCACCCCTAAACCAATCACATACCACATCCTACTTCTAGTTTGCCCACGTACGGCGTCTCCATGCCAACAGCCTCCAATTAAAGAATACCTTGATGGATTCCCTTTTTCCCAGTATAAAGCTTTCCTACTACTCTGCCTGCCTTTGCGTTCCTACCAAATGCAAATGATGGTGACTGACTCGCTTGCTAGAGTAAGGTCTGAATAAATAGGCTATGCTTTTCTTATTTGGTTGATATTTGTTTATTTTCACATATTGGAGCTAGTAATCCAAGAAATTCCATGAAGAACTAATTTCCAAAACTTTTTCTTTTTTCTAGACACGGTTCCTTCTGCTGGCCAGGCTGGAGTGCAGTGGAACCATCATGGTGTACCACAGCTTTGACCTCCCAGGCTCAAGCCATTGATCCCCCCCAACTTCAGCCTCTGGGGTAGTTGGGACTACAGGCGCCCACAACTACAGCTGGCTAGGGGTGTGTGTGTGTGTGTGTGTGTAGAGATGGATCTCACAATATTGGGGGAGGGGGTGTCTGTAGAGACAGATCTCACAATATTGCCCAGACCGGTGTGGCCTCAAGCTATCCTCCTGCCTTGCTGAGGTTACAGGCATGAGCCACCGTGCCAGCCTCCAAAACTTTTTAAAAGATACTGGTGTTATTTCTGAAACATCCAAAAAGTTGATTTAGATTATTAAGTAAAAAAGATGCTCCACGCATCTTCATCTTAATAACCTAAATCTTAATAACTTAAATGTTAATCTAAAACTTCATCTTAATAACCTAAATCAACATGTTACAGATCTCACATTTCCGGAGAAGATCCTCTTCCGGGAACGCACGCGACCTTCTACCCACAAGAGCGGTGTCGCTAGTGCAGGAGCGCGTAGGCAGAGCGTCAACTACTGCGGCTCCCGCAGTCCCCGCCCACACCAAGTGAGAACTACAATTCCCGGCGGCCCCCACGGAAGGCGGGCCGCGGCCATAAGCGCCTGCGCAGTAGCGGAGCCGCCGGACGTGCTGTTCCCGCCAATTCTTGTGGTAGCCCTGCCTGGGTTGAGTTCCGCGCTCCATGGAGACGTTTGACCCCACCGAGCTGCCCGAGCTGCTTAAACTTTATTACCGGAGGCTCTTTCCCTACTCTCAGTACTATCGCTGGCTCAACTACGGCGGAGGTGATGAAGGCGGGGAATGGGCTCAGGAGCGGATTGTGAGGAGGTTGGAGGCGGGGTGTCCTTAGAATGACAATGTGAAGCGCCGTCAGTGCGCCCGGCTTTGTGCCGCGGGCCTTCTTATGCTCTCTCGAGCCCGCCCCACCACTTCCTAGGTGTAAATGGGCCGAGACAGGATATAATGACCAGCCTGCGGCCACACGGTAAAAAAACCGAGCCGTCGCTCCTACCTCTGCGTGGTCGGGCTCACTTTAGGTACCCCGTTTACTTGCCGCGGTGCCCAGGGGGTTACTGGGGCGTATCTGCAGAGGCCTGGTTTGTATCAGGAGCGGAAGAGCCTCTGTCAGAGGAGTAGAAATAGTTTCTTCCTTGCAGCTGAATTTATTAGTGCAAATCGAGGAGAGAGGGGTGGCATTACATATTTAAAATATTTCCGCATCTGTTTCGTCTTTTGTACCTTTCCCTAGCAAATGTGGAATGGTAAGTGCTTCCAAATTAGGGACTAGGGCTTGTGGGGTTGGTTGGTTGTTTCTTTGTTTTTACGTCTACCATGGTGTTAAGCATAGGGGGCTCATTACAAATATCTCTGGCTGGGTGCGGTGGCTCAGGCCTGTAATCCGAGCACTTTGGGAAGCCAAGGAGGACGGATTAGCTGAGGTCAGGGGGAGACCAGCTGGCCAACATGGTGAAACCCTGTCTCTACAAAAAATACAAAAATTATCTGGGCGTGGTGGCACGCGCGCCTGCAGTACCAGCTTCTTAGGAGGTTGAGGCGGGAGGATCGCTTGAACCCGGTAGGCAGAGGTCGCAGTGAGCCTAGATCCCACTACACTCCAGTTTGGGCGACAAAGCAAGAAGCGAGACTCCCTCTCTAAAAAAAAAAAAAAAAAAAACACTTCTCATTGGCTAAAGTTATAATGTCCCGAGCCGAATAAAGTAGCAAATTCACTTTAAAATGTACATTTATTTTCCAGTGATAAAGAATTACTTTCAACACCGTGAATTTTCATTCACATTGAAAGATGATATTTACATTCGCTACCAGTCCTTCAACAGCCAGAGTGATCTGGAAAAAGAGATGCAGAAAATGAATCCATACAAGATTGATATAGGCGCAGTATATTCCCACAGAGTAAGATCTCTTTTTTTAATTTATTTTGTAAACCAAGAATGGGTTGGTTCCTCTAGCATTTTGAGATTAAATTTTTAGAGTGTATTCTAGATGAAAAGCCACTTTTTAATTGGCAAGTAGATTAATCCATTTTTGTTCTTTGACATTTTACATTGCTGATGAAATCGTTTGAAAGTGAATTGGTTGCATTCTTACTAGGACAAAAAACTTGAGTATCTTGCTACTAGAAAGAAGAAGTCAACATGATTTAAAAGAGGAGGCTGGGTGCAGTGGCTCACACCTGTAATCTCAGCACTTTGGGAGGCTGAGATGGGCAGATCACCTGAGGTCAGGAGTTCGAGACTAGCCTGGCCAACATGGTGAAATCCTGTCTCTACCAAAAATACAAAAATAAGCTGGGTGTAATTGCGGGCACCTGTAATCCCAGCTACTCGGGAGGCTGAGGCAGGAGAATCGCTTGAACCTGGGAGGCGGTGGTTGCAGTGAGCTGAGATCATGTCACTGCACTCCAGCCTGGGCGACAAGAGCAAAACTGTCACAAAAAGAAAAAAGGGGGGAGGGGAGAATAAAAGAGAATTACTTTCTCTCCCACCATGGAAGTTATTCTTTTTTTCTTTTCATTGTTTATCTTTACTTAGGTCAAATATGCATGTAAAATTTACCATCTTTACCACATTTAAATGTACAGTTCATTCCTAATAAATATTAATATTCTTTTTCCTTCATACCCCTGGAGTTATTCTTGACTCCTCTCTTTCTCACACTCCCATACCCATTCTGTTAGGAAATCCCTTTGGCAATACCATAGGTATATCTAAAATCCAGCCATTACTACCAGTGCTACCAACATTATCATCTCATCTGAATTACTATAAAAACCTCCTCAGAGTTTACCCTTGTAGAATCTAGAGTCCATTCTCAATACAGAAGCCAGAGTGATCCTTTTAAAACAACTCAGTTTCTGTAATTCCTCTACTCAAAACATTCTCTGGTGGCTGCTCATTTCACTTACTAAAAGTCACTTCTCTCCCCCTCACTGACTTCATTCTTGCCACACTGACCCTTGCTCAAGCTGTTTCCACTGCCTAGAACCCATTTCTACAGGTATCTACTTGGTTCATCTCCTCACCTCCTTCAAATCTTTACTCAAATAGCACCTTCTAAGTGAGGTCTACTATAACCACCACTCTCCTACCCCCTGCCACTGATATATACTAAGTGCCTAGAAGAGTGCCTAGCAAGAGAGAGTACACCATAAATATATGTTGAGTGAATGAACAAACCAAAATTGCCCCTCTTCCCCTTCTCAAATATACACATTGGTGAGTGGAGGGAATATATACACAGCATAATAGCTTTTATGTGGAGTTTTTCATGTTATATAACTTGTTCCTTATATCAATCCTCATTCTTTTTTGCAAAGGAGAAAACAGGCCCAGAGAATTTGAATAGTTTGCCCAAGCTCACACACAATTTCTAAATGATAGAGCTGGGACTTAAACCCAAATACTTTTGCTAACTAATATTGCTATGTCAAGCTTTTTAAATTAGAATTTGCCTGGCATGGCTTTAGGTCTGACTCTAAATCCCAGACCTGTCTCTCATCATCAAAGTAAGGGGAGATGAGGTAGTAAAAGGCAGGCAGAAAAAATACTTTGGGCCGGGTGCAGTGGCTCACGCCTGTAATCCCAACACTTTGGGAGGCCGAGGTGGGTGGATCACGAGGTCAAGAGATCAAGACCATCCTGGTCAACACGGTGAAACCCCGTCTCTACTAAAACTACAAAAAATTACCTGGGCATGGTGGCGCGTGCCTGTAATCCCAGCTTCTCAGGAGGCTGAGGCAGGAGAATTGTCTGAACCCAGGAGGCGGAGGTTGCGGTGAGCCGAGATCGCGCCATTGCACTCCAGTCTGGGTAACAAGAGCGAAACTCCGTCTCAAAAAAAAAATACTTTGGAGTTGTTTACTTCCTCTTTATAGGTTGAGAATTTTTAAAAACTTATAAGAATCCAAGTCACAGCGCCAAAAAAAGAAAAAAAAATTTTTAATAAATTTTTCAATAAAACAAAATTTTTTTAACTTCTAAGAAAGGTTAGGGTACCAGTTATGTATGCACATGGTTTACAAAATCAAATACTTCTATTTGTTTTTTTTTTTTTAAATCTGCTACCAGGAGGGGTGCAGTGGTTCATGTCTGTAATCCCAGCACTTTGAAAGGCAGAGATGGGCAGATCTCTTGAGTCAGGAGTTCTAGACCAGCCTGTAAAACATGATAAAACCCCATCTCTACCAAAAAACACAAAAACTTAGCTGCGCATGGTGGCACACGCCTATTGTCCCAGCTACTCAGGAGGTTGAGGCGAGAGAATTGCTTTAACCCAGTAGGCGAAGGTTGCAGTGAGTGAAGATCGTGCCACTGCACTCCAGCCTGGTGACAGTGAGATGCTGTCTCAAAAAAAATCTGCTATCCTTTTTTCCCCTCATTTTTTGCTACCCAGAAGCAACCGCTTTTTTACTTTTTTTTTTTGATATGGAATCTAGCTCTCTTGCCCATGCTGGAGTGCAGTGACTCTATCTTGGCTCACTGCAACTTCTGCCGCCCTGGTTCAAGTGAATCTCCCACCTCAGCCTCCCAAGTAGCTGGGATTATAGGCTCGTGCCACTACACTCATCTAATTTTTATGTTTTTTATTAGAGACGGTGTTTCACCATGTTGGCCAGGTTGGTCTCAAACTCCTGACTGCAAGTGATCCACCAGCCTCAGCTTCCCAAAGTGCTGGGATTACAGGCATGAGCCACCATACCCAGTCCCAGAAGCAACCACTTTCTTTTAGCTAATTGTCAAAATATTTGCCTGCTTCTTAAACATGGCTGTATTCCTTCTGCTTTTACATTTTAAGCATAATCTGTCTTTCCACTCTGGCAGATGATGTGCATCGTTTTTCATCTATTATGCTAGATACTTATGGGACCTTATAACTGATGTCCTTCATAATAAATTTTGGGAAAAGGAAATGCTGGGGAATTTTTTTATGCCCTCAATGCATTAAAAATTTCCCATTCCCACCTACTCTTCATATAATTTTCATTAAATTAAAAATTAGGGTCAGTGAAGGGCACAGTGGCTCTTACCTGTAATCCCAGCACTTTGGGAGGTGGAGGTAGATGGATCACCTGAGGTCAAGAGTTTGAGACCAGCCTGGCCAACACAATGAAACCCTGTCTCTACAAAAAATACAAAAATTAGCCAGGCATGGTGGTGCATGCCTATAGTCCCAGCTACTCAGGAGGCTGAGGCAGGAGAATCGCTTGAACCTGGTAGGTAGAGGTTGCATTGAACCAGGATAGTGCCACTGCACTCCAGCCTGGGCAACAGAGCAAGACTCTGTCTAAAAAAAAAAAAAAAAAAAAAAAAATTAGGGTTAGATAACTCATTCAACCCCAAACTCTTTGCCAATTGTCTAATTCTTCCAATATATTCAGACCCAGCAGATAGTTTGTTGATTTTATCTTGAAGAAATTTTATTCTTTAGCCTTCTGACCTCCAATCTGGATTGATTGCTCTCTAATCCTGAAAAATAATCTTATAATCACCCTAGTTTCCTTTCACCTCTGTCCTAATGCTGTAACTCCCTTGTTTTGGTGGAGCACATCCACCAGGAGATTCCAGATAAATGGTGCATGGAAGACAAAATGTTTGACACCTAGATTTCTGAAAAATGTCTTCATTCTACCTTTGTATTTGACTGATGGCTGAGGTTGGAAATAATTTTCCCTTAAAATTTTGAAGACAGTGCCACATTATCTTCTAATTTCCAGTGTTGCTGTTGAGAGGACTAATGCCATTCTGATTCTTCTTCCAATGTGTTATACCTGGAAGCTCGCAGGATTTTCTTTCAATCCCATCTGTCTCTAATGTTCTAAAATTTCATAATGATGTGCTTTGGTGTGCATCTTTTTTCATCTATTATGCTAGATACTTAAGGGCCCTTAATGATAATGAACTCATGTCCTTCAGAATAAATTTTGGGAAAATAATATTCTGGAGAATTTTTTTTTAAGAACACAATTTTGTCTACCTGTTTTTTCTTGTATCTCTAGGAATCCTAAAATCAGATGGTAGGCCTTTTCAACTGATTTTCTATTTTTCTTTCCTCCTATTTTTCATCCCTTTTTTTGTTCTACTTTCTGGAGGATTTTCTCAGATGTTTTCATTTCTGCTGTTGTATTTTAATTTCTGTGTGTGTGTGTGTATTTTAATTTCTAAGGGCTTTTCTTAGAACATCTTGTACTTTTTTCATTGATATGTCTTAAATCTCTGTGCATATCAATGATACTTTTTTAAGATTTCTTCTGTTATACTGTTTTCTCCAGGTTGCTTTTTTTCCATGTTTTTTCCCTTCTCATATTAGAGGCTTTTCTAATATGTCTGATAATTTTTTGTTTGTGCTTATATTTAAGAATGGAATACTAGGCCGGGCGCGGTGGCTCACGCCTGTAATCCCAGCACTTTGGGAGGCCGAGGCGGGTGGATTACGAGGTCAAGAGATCAAGACCATCCTGGTCAACA